CAGGTGCGTGGGAATTTATATTGTCATGTTATCAACCTGCGTGGTGCGAAATACTATACCAGTAAGAAAATGCCCTGTGTGCCATACTCCTAAAAGGCTAAAATAGTTTAAATATGAGTGCAGCAATGGAATTGCACACCATACTCAGGAACATATATCCGCATTGTGTTGCGGTTGGATATGAGTTAACTAGATTGCTAAGGTGTCAACCCAGGTTATAAAAGTCAGCATAGTTATGAATATTCATTCTAGGGGGCAGGGTGCAGACTGCAGAGGGTGCAAGCAGCATTGCCAATATATGGATTTTTAGCTCAAAGTGTTGCCAGCCATTTTCAAGATCAGTCACTGGGTAATTATTAATAAGAAAATGCTGCTAATAACTTTGATAGTATATCCCTTCACTGCATCCTGACAAGCTTCACTGCATCCTGATCCATCTGACGTACCGGAAACCTCACTGTGTGCGATAATAGTTTCCAAATAATGCAATAGTTTCAATCCAAATGTGTCGGCAAGATCTTCTGGAGGCATAAATTTTGCTGCTGATGCATTGCCAATAATCTTTTGATATTCACCCACTTTGTGGCTTCTGCATCCTGGTATTCATTCATAGATCACAATTTGGGTGGACATGAATTACAGAACTAAAAAAGACAAAATGGCTTGAGATGTGCCATCAGTGCCTTCTAATGAACAACTGGTTGCTGCAAATAGGGTATGAACTTGTTTGTCAACAGTACAAACCTTTACGCCAACGTCGGGACTACATTCCCGACATCCTCCCATTTGGCCAAATAGACATAATCAATACCTAATAACAATGCACATAAATGGACTATAAAAATTAAGTCAATACGGCATAATTACTGAGTGTAACTAGACTATGTGATACAAAATATTCAAGAAGAAATTGATCTCTTCAAAATATCTCTCTTCCAGAATCTGTAACTAATTCTACAGAACAAACAAAGTTATGGTTACAGTTACCAACAATCAAAGAAATTAGTCTTCCTAATTTCCCAAGTACATGAGGGTGATCGCTATGAATTTGTACAATATCTCCTATCTCAACAATATTAGAAGAAGTTACATTGCTGGACTGAGATCTTTCACACAGCGAAGTCAAATAGTCCAAATGCTAAGAGTTTCCTAAAACTTTGAAGTAAAAGTTGATTGCGAGTTTAACATTTGGTAAGAATTGTCTTTTCATTCAAGGATGGGTCACGAATATCTCCAATGTCAATTGGGTCTGGAAATTCTTTGATCTGACTACCATTTATCAATATTGATGGTGTTATTGGTTGTAAATTGTTGATATCTTTTGATAGATAAATCAATATTCTGTTATTTATTTGTGCTTCATTTGAGCAATTACGGTTTCCAAATCTGGGTGCATTATATTATGTCGTGTGTACATTGAATGTGAAAAAATTATAACTATAATATGAAAGTTGTTATGTAGGTTATCATAATGCAAATCACTATATAGTATTAAGATTGCACCCATCCTCCACCCATTATTGAATTATCCCACTTTTTATCTAAAATTCAACAATCTCTCTTCTAGCAAAGATTGCAAAATTCATTAGCTGCATTAAATACTCTCTGCTGTCTGTAGAGTGCTGTGGTAGTTGAGTTCCTGTTGACGTGACATCTGTTGCTTGTTTGACGCTAATTTCGTAAAGGTTGCTTCAGATAAATTAATCATTGCCATTCCCTTCTTTCACCCTCAATTTAATGTAGTAGCTAACTAAATTGAATGGTATTATTCATACAACTTGTATCTATTGAACTTTTATACTTTCAGATCTGATGGAAGTGGCTAGCGTCCCTAACAATGCGAGGATGTAGATCAAAACATTAGTGATCTAGAAGCAGGCTGCACCAAAAAAATATTTCAACATGTCTATAATTAAATAAAGATCATTACATGTAATTTAAGGGGAGCGTCTGCCCCAAAATAAAAAATTTTGACTTTTTCAATTTTTATACTCATCTTAAAGGTTACATTCTGATGCATCCAACAGTACCAAAACCATCTCTGTACATTGATTTATGCGTTCAATACAGATCCCGTAAGGTGGGGAGGTGTCCGAGCCCCTTCAGTAAAGTTAAGGCAGAAATTACCTGGCCAGGCACCATAAAGGGGATCATCTGACGTAAAGCTGCCAATTATGACATTCTCCAGTTCTTATACTCATCTTAAAGCTTACATTCTGACGCATCCAACGGTACCAAAACCATCTCTGTATGTTGATTTATGCGTTCACTACAGATGCCGAAAGGGAGGGTGGTGGGACGGTTCTTTAACAAATAAGTAAGGCGGAAATTAGCTGCCGGGAGCACGTAAATAGACTGTCTGGCAAGCTGCAGCTCAGTCACCCTCCTGGCATTGCACGTGGAAGTGTCCTAGCAGTTGCTCCCACCATCCTTGACTGGAATCAATCTCCAGTAATGCTTAGTTTCATTTCCTGGCTACATTGAGTGGCTATTTTGATACGTGCGGGACTTTGTCACGCTGTCTTGAAAAGTTAACTTATTGTCACGGCAAACCTATCTCCTCCTAGAGTTTTAAAGCTACAGCAATGACAGATACACCATTCGATTAGTAATTAAAATATCTATCGATTCGTTGTAGCTTTTTTTGAATTTCTTTATAGTTTTGGAAATATTTTGAAAAAAGGGGGCGCAAATTGAAAAAAGCAAAAAATTTTCAGAAATTTTGGGAAAAATGCTCCCACATCCATAAAAATTCAAATTTTTACAACGAATTGATAGATATTTTGATTGCAAATCGAATGGTATATGTCTCATTGCTGTAACTTTAAAACTCAATGGAGGAGATAGATTTCTACAGTACCCCTTTTTTTGACTGCTTTCTAAGAATTTCACATTTTTTTCATTTTTTCGAAAAATTGACTTGAATAACAGCTGTCTATTTTTCGTTTTTACATATGTGAACCTTTTTCCAGAGTGTTCCATCTGTAAACAGCCAAGATAAATTTTAGAGCAGATGCTCCACTTAATAAACATGAAATCTCCCTATTAAACAGTTAAATCTCCTTAGTCATCAAAATTTATATCAACTACGCAAGTCAAACCAACAATAAAAAAATTTGTTTAAAAATTACTTTTTAAAGACACTTCTAAAGGGGCCAGTGTCTCCGATCTTACACATGTGCAATGAATTTCTTATTTTATTTTTTAAATATTAAAAAAAAAATATTTTTTTAATTTCCTTAATATTTAGAATTTTTTTTTAATTTTTAAAATTATTTATTATGTCAATTGATTCAAGCATTGTCTCCAACTTTATGCAAGTTTGCAAAATTTCAGATCAATTAGACAGTTAGAAGTTTGTTAAATATTTATTATAAGATTAGTAGGTAGCAGACAAACAAACAAGAAGTGAAGTTAAAGAGAAGTGTCGTAATAAAATATGTGTTTAAAAATTACTTTTTAAAGACAACACTTCTAAACAATCCAGTGTCTTGGATTTTACACATGTACCACGAATTCTAATTTTATTTTCAAATATTGAAAAAAACTTTTTCAAAATTTTTTTAAGAAATCAAAATTTTGCAAATTTTCAAAATTATTTATTCTGTCAATTGATTCATGCATTGTCTCTGACTTTATGCAATTGTGCAAAATTTCAGATCAATTGGACAGGTCAAATTGTGTCATATATGGATTATAAGATTTGTAGCAGACAAAATTATTTTTTCAAGTTTTTTTAATAATGAAAAAAAAATTTTTTTATTTATAATTATTTATATTCTGTCAATTGATTCATGCATTGTCTCCAACTTTACACAAGTGTGCCAAATTTCAGATCGATGGACAGGTAGAAGTGTATTAAATATCGATTATAAGATTTGTAGCAGACAGACAGACTGACAGACAAACAAGAAGTGAAGTTAAAGAGAAGTGTTGTAAAATATAAGACATCTCCGGGTTACTTCTGACTCTTCCGCTTATTGGATACGGATGGTAATCGTAAACTGCCGCTATTAAATACATGGAATGTATGTAAACAGACGGTGTTGCCTTATGAAAGTGGAGAATATTTATTCTAAAATAAAGTTCTAGATTTCTCACTTTCACCAAATTTCCAAACCAAGAAAAAGCATATATTATTGATTATTGAAGTATACGTAATTAAAGCCATACTGAGTATTTTGTCTGTTCCTTAACAAACTGCCCCTTTGCGGCACAGAATCGATGGGCAGAATAGCGCAACACCTGTGCAAAGAGAAAATATTTATAATATAAATATTTATTTTGCCAAACTGCACCAACTTATGGCTTTGAAAAAACTCATTATGCGTGGGAAAATTCCCGGAAAACATACATCATCCTGAGCAATGATACTATTATGTATGTAATTGCCTCTGTAATACTAGCGCAGTAATAGTGGCACAATAATGAGAGGAGCTAACTGTGGGTTTGAGCCTTGCAAAGCTAAGTTATTGTTATAGTGTTGCTGGAGGGCTGCACTTGGTAGCTCATGAAAGTCAGTGTCATGAAGTCAGTGTTTGCAGTATATATATATATATGGCCTTGTGCTGGTGCCCCAAAACAGAGTATGGTTATGTGCCACCTCAAGATATTGCTTTAATAGATCTCCTTAATAATATTTAAGCTACAAATATCTGGAGAAATTTAATCATAGCCAAGGGAAAATTTGCATGAAGTTTGAGCAGTATTGATGATTCTATTTTGCTTTGCATTGCCTGTGTCATATTATAACTTTTCTTTTTAACATACTAGTTTCCTTATCTATTTTGCTCCACCTCCTTATATTGAATAAGAAGTATTTTGTAGAAATATAGTGTAATTATGTTGAAAGTGGTCTGTAAGAAATTTTTTCGATCTGTATTTTCCTGAACTGCACATTTTATTGGATAAACCACTATAGTCCAAATGTGTGTTTTTATTTATTATGATATACCGGTAGGTATAAAAAAGAGAAATCAAAGGATCATTTCTATGTGCAGTTGCTGGACTGTGGGAAGAAGGCCTTTCATTGGATGAAAAACGCCAGTATTGTAACTTTCTCATCGAGTCCTGCAGCTCGGCAAAGAGAGATGAGCAGCGCCGGCAATGGCAGCAGAATGAAGAGCTTGCATCTCATGACAAGTCCAGCATTGAACCAAATGATGCTGGTGTCAAATCCCGTAAAATTTTACAAAAAGTGCCGGCTGCAAGTGAAGAAAAGAAAAAGGTACTTGGTGATTCCTACCTAAAGTTTAATTAGTGTAGGCTGTTCATATATCAATGCTGCATTCATTGATTTGACCATTTTTGGTGGCATAGTGGCAAACCAGAGATTATTTAGAACCATTTCATTTATAATTTCCTCATCTGCTCAGTATTTTAATATGTATTTTTTTCAATTATGTATGAAAATGCTGGTATCCATTATACTTAATAGTCTACTTAGAAGACTCAAAATTGAAATTAAGGAAGGGCAATAAAAATGTTCTCTTTTGCCAATATGGTTGGTAGATTGTGATTGATTTTCTTTGGTTTATATAGACAATATTGGCTTATCACAATTCTATTCACATCTACCAAACTGGTAGTTCATTATCAAGAAGGTTCCAGTTTGTAATTTGAGCTTGATGACATAAAATTTTCATGATTTCATTTCATTCTTTAGGGATTTGGGCAATTAAGGCTATTTAACCTTTTACATTTAATTTCTCATTGCAATTTTTTGGGCATAAGTGGAATCAATTATTTACTTTTTCTCAGGTTGAGACAAGTGATGATACCAGTAATGAATCTGCCCAATCCATCAAAACAATTGGTGGCAAGAAGCAAGAGGATGTCTCTCTAGAATCAACTTCTGCTGACTCATTTCATTCTGTAAATGAAACGTTTTCTGATGACTCATTTCTAAATGAAACGTTTTCTGATGACTCATTTCATTCTGTAAATGAAACGTTTTCTGATGAAATTGAATATAAAGATGAAAATTCCAAATCTGTAGATCAGCCAGCACAAAAGCAGACCAATGTTACACTTGATGCTGGAGAACAATCGCTGTTGAGAGCCAACTTGTCTTGTGTAGATTCAATTAATGAAGTAACTCTCACTGCTAGCAGAGGGATGAACAATCCGTCTCCTAAGTCATCTCCAAAAGATGGAAAATATGACAGTAATTGTGCATCTTCTAGTTTGTTTGTGAATATGAACAGTAGAATGCCTTCTTGGGAAATTGTGGAAAAATACCCCCAAAGAATAAATGATATCAGGTTCAGAGATTTGTCACATTACAATTCAGCTTCAGAAGAAACCCGCGCTAAGATGTACAAGGAAGTATTAGAATCACTAACCAAGACCAGTTATGCTATAGCTGAATCATTGCGGGAGCCAAACAAGCCAATGCCTTGGAAAAGAGTGATCAAGCCACCGCGGATCCATGAAAAAAATGATAAAGAAATTTCGTTTGCAGCAGAAGGTGCTTACTCATTGAGGAAGCGCCGCACCGCTCAAAAGCATCATTTTGTTAGTTCTTCTGTAGAAGAAGAAATGGATGAGCTTCCAGAAATAGAGCAAATAGTGCAATCAAAAGACAACGAGTGGATTCCAAGAAGTCATACGAGTGGCAGGAAAATAAAAAGGGCAGACAAAGTCTGCCAGCCGCCAAAGACAAGCTCGCGGACCCCTCTTACTGAGTGCCAAAGCAGTGATGACGGAGAAAAACGACCAAGTGAGTAGCTAGTGATTCCTTGTCCACAGATTGAAATTTGTGCCAGTTTGACACTACCTATTGACATGCTTGTTCTGGTCTGTTCGTTTAAACTGTTTTCAAGTAAAATTTAATTATCTAATGGAATTATATTTCTATTTGCTATTTATCTCTTCCGTCTTAGCAATTTGGCCGTAAGGTGTAGAATAAGCGTTTTCCTTGCACAATTTCTCTACCGCATGTCACAAGTGATAAAAACTGATGTAAGGTGATCTCTATAAATCTCCCTCTTTTATTTCAGTCGCGACTGGAGCACTTCCCACTGCTAAGGTTAGATTTTTTACAGGTTCCTGGGTTCTGAAATATACAGTTTCATTTCCGCTAAAATTTGCAAAATTTTGACAGACAAATTTGATATTATGAGGTTGGTACAATTGAAGGAATCAGCAGCTTTCATTTTCCAAATCTATCATAGACTCCTTATGTCTGACATTAGTTGGTGCATTCAACCATGAATTAAACGTTGAAAATGTAGACTGCTTGAGCCTGATAAGATTGTATTTATACTTGTAACTTCGAACGTGGGCGTTTCTAATAGTAACGTCATCTCACTTCCAAACCGAGGCCCAGTTCATTCGTTGATTCAAGTGCACATTGTTCCTCAGATGTTGTGCCGGTCTCCCATGGTAAATATTTCTAAGCCGTCAAACAAAGCTTTGCAGCCGTCAAGTGTTGAGGCCTGCGGTAGCAACGTTACCTCCAAATCATCGACCACGATGTCGCAGGATGAAATCAGGGCTCACCATCTGGAGGTGCTCGCCCTGGCAGATCGCCGCCGGCTATTGGAAGAAAGCCAAGGTTCAAAGAGCCGAACTTCGAATGATGAAGGAGATAACTCGGTCCAGTGTCCGATTTGTACCTCTTACTTCTCGCAAGGCAAAATCGAGGTATTTTGTACAGAATACCGTGGCGTTACATTGGTTAAGTTTATATCGCTTTCGAAGCTGGGCTCCAGTTAGATTCATTAAATTATTGCATTGAAGTTATTTGCTAAGGTAAATATTTTTTGTATTGTTTCTAATTTGATTCACACTTTAACTGCATCCAAATTTATGGTGATTTACAACGGCTCTCATGTAAGAGAAGAGAAATTGCATCTTAGCGTACAAACATTTTTTTGAGCAAATCAAAAGAACCTAAGCTAATGTCATTAAATGTTCATGGGATATAATTCCTTGATTGTTAAGTTACAGTATTTATTACATATTCCTTATGTTTGAAAAAATATGATCACCGCAGAGTCACGCCTCCTCGTGTAATGGCGAAATTATCACGCGGGCGCAGACACTTCAGCGGCAGCTAAGGGCGCATAAGAGCTACGCTGCTAAATCCAAAACGCAATCATCGGGGAACGTTACAACTATCGATAGCGACCCTGATGATGTTGACGAAACCGAGGTTCTGAGCGCTCGTGCCACGCGGACGAACACTTCAAACCTTCCTAGGTCTTCTGGTTTTTTGTTTTGTATGAAATATTTTTACAAAGTCACGAATACTCACGACGATCAAATTGAGACCACGTCAAATGTGGTGTGTGTATGTGGTGTGAGCGTGTGTGCGTGGTGTGAGCGTGTGTGTCATGTCAGTTTGTGCGAAAAAGAAATCATTGAAATTGGGCATATCTTCGACTGCCTAATGACGTGTCAGCTTACCTCTCATCTCCATAACGAATTGTACCCTTTAAACGTTATTCGCCGTGACTGGCTGAAACGGTTGGCCAGCCAGTGAATTTTTTTTAAATAATAATCACTGTGATTGTATCATTTCAGTATTAGAACGTAAATATTCACATGTTACTACCTGGGCATTAAAGCAAACTGCATTAATTAATTTTGACTCGCTACCCTGTCTTGCTTTGTTTTGGGATCCCCTCCTGTGCTTTTATAGTTTAAACTTCTGTTGTCCATTGGCGATCACTTAATTTTAGTCCTTATTTCAATGCTACCGTATATATTTCAGCTATCAATGTTCTACTCGCTAGTGCATACGGGCACTAAACTCTATGTCCGTAGTAAAGGTTTGTTTAAAAACATTGAGGGCCGAGACAGAAAAATGGGTTGCACGTGCTCGTATGCAGCTTAAACAAAATTGTCTTAAAAGATGCTAAGTATTTTTAGAGATAATTGAGATAGATGCTAAAGAGTGTGGGAGATGCCAGCTATACATTATTCTTCTTTAGTGATCGTGCTGCCTTACTTGCAAATAGAAAAAATGCAAGTGTTTAACTATAATGTCGATAGTTTTACTTAAAGGATTGCTTGTATTTCTTCATGTGAATGATGGAGCCAGCTTTACTAGGGATATATACCAACGTATCGTGCTCTGAATAAACATTTTTTCCTTCTGTCATTGCTTCGTTGATTCTATTTTTGCTGCCATAACTATCATCTTGAAAAGTTGAACTTTTTTGTTTAGGAGAGATATATTACAGTCTTAAGGATCTGTTTCTTTAAAGATATCCCCATGTAAAGGGCAACATGTTTAACTGTGATGTCGACACTTTTGTAACTCGGCTAACATGGAATTGGTTTCGTTTTGCCGCAGTATTTCATTGCGATCTTTCGTGTTGTATTTTAATTTACTGTGTTTATTTTAATGAGTAATCGGAACATATTATCGACATTTTTCTACTCGAGTTCTACGCAATACGGGAGAACTGTGACGCCTGTCTTACGTAACGTAAATCGTTAAATCTTGCATGTGCGGTGAAAAGTTCCTTTTTCGCATGGATTAAAAATGTTTTTACATGGCATCGTTTTGTAGAAGTTTATATCGCTGAANATTTCATTCATGCCATTCATTCTGTCTCTTATACACATCTAGATGTGTATAAGAGACAGGTTTTCGTCGACGAGAAAATGCGCTCTCTGTCACTCACTGCTGTGAGTACTGAGTTATATTTTTTACGAATACGGCTGAGTATTCATTGAGTATTACGAACATCGAAATCTCATCAAGTTGCAACTCGTACATATTAATCACACAAATTATAAACAAAAATTGGTCAAGTATAATAAATACATTGGTGTCACCATCTATCTCTGTACTTGAAACTAAAGTATTCTTAAATTAGCAGACGTGCGAGCAGATAACTAACTAGCAGCTTAAACACCACACAAGATTATCAATAAACAAATCTTATCACAACAAATAATGCACAAGTATTAACACATAATTAAGTACAGAGGTAAATAGCATATAAGTGGTAGTTAAGTACGCACAAACTGACGCAGCATATATGGATAGAATGGTGTAAACTGGAGAATCCTGTTAATTACAGTATTTTTCATGGCGATGTTAGGAGCATTATTGAACAACAGAGCAAATACTACATGTATCGTTGGAAAAAGAAATACGCATCCTAAAATACGCTAATTGATTTATATTTATAGTTANTAATAAACAAGCTTCTTCAAATAGAAATAAGGTTGACGACACTCAATAGTTCAATTGGGTTAAAGCATTCGTTGCACATATCATTACAAGCTAGGGTGTTGGATGTATCATTAATAAGTAGGTAGTAGGATGTAACATTAATAACTAGGTAGTAGGATGTATCATCACTAACATGTTGGCTTCACAAACGACACGAGATTTAGAATACGCTTCTCGTTTGTCAATTACTATTCACCATGCGAGAAAAATTAAATTGCCTACAAATATTTTAACATCCAACTTTTCATACGACAATGGCACTAATTTTCAAAAGAATATATTGCGTAAATTTGCTGAGCAATGTTGATAGTGCGTCTATTGGGCGACTACGTCTTTAACAAACAGGGAATGATGAACTGAAATTATTATTAAAGAGTTTGATACACAACAGAAGGCAAACTTTACCTCCAGATGTGAATATTTGCTCACACTTAACAACAGCTTCATTACTGAGACCTGAAGCTTAGGAGGAGCACCAAGGCTGTGCATTTAGCTTTAAAAAAAAATTAATTAAAATTGCAATAGTTTTTTGCATTTTACAACTCTTCAGCCCATTATTCAATTTTAACAAAAATCACAAGTTTGAAATTTAAATTACAATTTGCTAGACCGATGCTCGAGAAATATCGGTCAGTGATTTTCAACAATTATCGGAGATGAAATGAATTCATGTAAATGATCTGGATTCTGGAAATGATTGGACTTACTCTGATTGGGCGCTGCTCGACATTGCAACTCCTCGTCCCCTAGCGCTTGCTTCATTAATATAATCAAGCAACAGCAGCAGCAGCAGCAACATTCATCCTGGCAACCGAGAGCATATTCTTTGACTTCGCTTAGAACTTTTTAAAATTTTTGGATCCTATATTTGCACATAAGCCAAGTATTTCGGATATTTAAATCTATTTCGCATCTAAAGAACTGGAAACTCGAGTAAACCTTTGGAAATCAGAGACGTAGAGCAACTCAAAGATATAATAAATTTAAAAAAATGCTCGCGGTTGCCACATTGCGTTAAATCTCATAGGTATCAAATAAATGTGCAGACTGGAGCTGAGCAGCAGCGGTAGCAGCAAAAAGTTGTATTGCATCGAACTCGGAACCGCGAACTGAACATTCCAAACAGGTACCGTTAACTGGGGTGACTTCGGCCATCGGGGGTGACTTTGGCCACACCTACAACAGAAACAAATGGCAGCAAAACAAAATAATAAACGTTGGCAAAAGTGACTGGGGTGACTTTGGCCAACGTTTATTATTTTGTTTTGCTGCCATTTGTTTCTGTTGCAGGTGTGGCCGAATTCACTCCAGTTGACGGTAACGTTATAAACGATCCAAGAAATTGATCAGTATTAGGAGCTTGTAGGTCAGCACTGAACCATCATGGTCGACAGCGGTAAATGTTGAGCCGCGTCGAGACGGCTTCGTCAAGAGACCGGCCAGCGCGCAGAGCTTCGCAGCGCATGTCCACTTACGTTACAGACATACTATGATACTAAGCATCGAATGAAACGTTGTCAAGTTTAAGAAATGTTCCTATCAAGATTCTATTTCAACTGCAATCGATATAAATTTCCAACTAGATATCAATTACCTTAAAAATATAAATGGTAGGTTATAACACACATACTTTGTACAGCGCAGCAATAAACTCATGATTCTTTCTCGCGAGAGAGTAACAACACTGAGAAGCGAGGCGGCTCTACGTACACATGTTTTAGTCCAAATTAACTGCAAGACCAGACACAGGTTACAGCTTTCTCTCCATCGACTAGGTTTATCAACAGCACGAATGGCACCAGCAAACGTGTGGATCTCGCTCTGTACATAGACTACTTTCAAAACATAGCGCGATATTGATCTGTTCTTGATGACAGGATTTCAAATCTGAATGTACGACAATCTACACGCATGACTCAATAAATCACGTCACTTTAGTCGAGTATAACATGTTTGATGTTACAATATCGATGGTAGACGTTATTATGGCTTGGCCCATCAAGAAAAGTAATCAAGCATATCACCAGAGTAGGTATATAACTCAGCACATTATCAAAGGAGGTATTTAAGCACATTATTTTGTCCTGCCATACGAAGGGGAGCGTCGTCTTGACCAGGAGACGCTCCTGCTGCGGGAGCGGCGGAGGCAGCTGCCCCGGCGCTGGGGGCTGTGGCTGCGACTCCTGCTGGACCACGACGAAGAGGATGACGAGTCGCTCTCGGGGGGCGGCGTGGGCCGGTGGTATGGAACCGGCCGCTTCCGGGCACTGAAATGTTCGGTACTTAAGGGGCGAGGAAATTCATCAATTGAGTTTTTTCTGCGATTTTTATATCTCAGTAAACAAATTAACAAGTGCACTATCATTTTACAAATAATATAGATTGTAAGTTGATCAAACAACCCGTAAATGTAGTCCAGTCAAACCTCCTTTCTGAGATCAGGGGCCGTGCTATCATAAGTATACGTAGCGGTCACTGTGCAGGGTGGCACAGTGGCAACCGTTCAGAGTACACCAAGATCGGAGTTGCGAGCTATGTGTTCGATCCCAGCTTCCCGCGACACTAAAACCGGCGAGGAGGCCGGGCGGTTAAGCAACGCAAAATTGGAATAGTGATTTGTGTTCGAGACCCACAGCAAGCAGTGAATGTTCTGTGATGTTATGAATCGGTGATATGTCTAACAGCATATTTAATGCAGACACTACTATACTACACGTAGCGCCTTAAGTACACATATAGCGGCTAATTTCTCTCCTGGTATTGGTTGGTTAAGCTCGAAAAGACGTTGGGCGGCCAGACTTACTAACTCATAAATATTTTTAAAAGTACGGTCTCAACGCGCAACCTTATAATGCGGCAACTTCATGTTTATGTGAAATAAAATTAATATAAGAATGAAAAATGATAAAACTACAAAACATAACCAAAAATAATTTTAAAAAACAGCAGGCAAACCTTGTGATCCGCCGCTTGTCCAAAAACGACGGTGACCCACGACGTCTAGGTATGGAAACCGACCGAGATCTACTTCTAGATCTGGAGGACGATCTTGATCGCGATATTGATCTTGAGTAAGACCGGGAGCGGGATGAAGATCGGCTGTAGGATCTAGTTCTCGATCGTTTAGATCGCGATCTAGATTTTGACCGGCTCTCACTTCGGGTTCTCGAACGGCTTCCATGTTTCGATCGCGATCCTGACCTAGACAAAGTTTGGGACCGATGTCTAGTCTGTGACCTTTTTGGTGATCTTGATCGAGATCTGGAGTGCCGTGAGGGTGATCGAGATATGGAGTGCCGTGAAGGTGATCGAGATCTGGAGTGCCGCGAAGTTGATCGAGATCTAGAGTGCCGTGAAGGTGATCGAGATCGATACGGAGACCTGGATCGCGAAAAACTCCGAGATCTTGATCTTGACGACTTTGACCCAGATCTTCTGTGCTTCGATCGTGATCTGGAGTGAGACCTGAAATGCATGAATACTTCACATTGACTTTAAAAAATACTACGAGGTTAAGTTTCGAATAACCGGAACCTAGTTCTCACGGCGATAACTGACATCTTTACAAGAACATTGAGAAATCAACTGTTTGCAGTAACAATATAATATAGCAAATAACAATAGGAAGTTTGTACATACGTGCGCAACGATTAATGCGCACATGACACTGTAGTTCATACCTGCTCTAGAGTGATAAATATTGTTCAAAATGTGCGGCAACTTCGGAACGATACGACCTTAACTAAATACAGTATAAACATTTAAGCATTGTCGGCGTTAACGTTACGTATGAATAAATGATTTACAAGCACTGTATTGCGTAAAAACAATTTCAAGAACATAATGGAAATAAAGTATTGTGATCAGAGCCGTACGCACCGAGAACGCGAGCGGGAGCTACTTGACCACGGAGGACGCTGGCCACCGGACCGACGTTCGTCTGGACTCCTAGACCGATTCTTCGTCACGTCTTTGTCTTTGCTCTCACTCTTCAGGCTTGCTGATGGTTTTCTGATAAAAAACAAACTTTGCTTACCAACTTAGTGTCATGGGTTAAGGATAGCTCAGCTCATGCCTACCTAACAACAACTAACCGTAAACTCGATAGTGTAAACGTGACTATTGAGGTGCAGCACTGGCTGCTTGATGCTCCCAATAAGGGCAAAACCAATCAAAACCATAAAAAATATATCATGAAGCAAGTTCAAGATTGCCCACAATAAGAGCTTTCTGAATTACCTGACAGGCGTGGGCAGCAGCGGACTTGTCAGCCTAGGGCGCCCATTGACGAGAAGTTCAGGCTTGGCCTCAGCTGCTGTCAGGCGCGCCGATGGCGACTTGTTGTCTGGCGAAGTTAGTGATTCTTTTCCCTCTACCAGTGCGGGCGCTTTCATGACATTCTTCCCTATCTCAAGTCTGTTCAGCTTACGAAAGTGCAAGGGCGGTATCTTCATCGGAGGTGCCTTGTTCAAACCAGCTTGCTGAAGAACGCCGCTGTCTGCATGCACAGCGGGAAGCTTGCCATTCGCCATTGACGCCACGACACTTGCATTTTGAGGCTGCGGTTGCGAGGATTTTTCTCCGTTGCATTCAAGTGTCTGATTTAATTTAGTCAACAATGGAGATCGGGGGTCAGGAAGGGAAGGGGGCTTCAAACCAGGCACGGAAGTTACGGAATCTGTTCGGTTATCATCTTCATCTTCTTCGTCATCAGGAAACGTGAGACTAAGTTTATAACTATCTATCTTCTTACGGCCTAACACAGCAGTCGTGTCCTTACTGCCGGAGACGGTAAGAAGACGCCTCAAAGTCTCACGCTTCTCATCACTGAGAGAATTCGATGAGCCGGCAGCCCTGCCTGCACTTCCCTCGCTCGGTCTGTAACCATCTTTGTTACTCAGCGCACCAGGTCTACTGTAGCTACTAATTTTCACGGACACCGAAGCCTTGTGACAATCACTTTTCTCTTGCTTGACTGCCCCATTGAGCAGGCTTGGTTTGGTATCAAGTTGAGATTTATCCAGGCAAGTTTTACCCCCGTAAACGTTCTTCAGCCGTTTTTCTTTCTTCGATGACACGGACTTCTCACTCGAGTCTTCGATGGGTGGAGCGTCTCCGCGATCGCAATTTTCGTACTCGTCAGCGCTCGCTCTCCCGTTTGCCCCATCGTCACCGCTGTACGCAATGCGAAATCTGTTACGAATCTTGTTCGTAGTATTCGTGTCAAATAAGAAACTTGTGTAGAATAGTAAAACGAGAATCTAATGCATACAAGTAGATTTTTAGGCACTGAGTGAATTCTACATCATACAATAGTGTAAACGAAAACCTTAATATCATGCGGTACAATATTATTGTTTTGATTGAAAAGAATAACACCAGTTCACATGTGCACAAGAGAAATAACATCAGGTAAAATTGTTGTTCACAGAAGCTACCGAAATACTCACCCCAGACGATGTATCAAGTCCAGCAAAAACTCAACGTATTACGTCATCTTTGGCGACTCATGATCACTCATCCAACAGTAAATGGTATTGTTGTGACCTAAGCTGCGGGTTCACTAAAGATCAGGTGAGCACAAACCTCCAGTTAAGGCGTTCATTGTTGAAATTTGGCCATAATATGACTAGTTAGACGGGTTTCTAGGAGAACACACTTAACGGCGACTTGCAAGCATGACTTATTTCTAGCGCAGGCTGTCGTGTTGTAAACTCTAGTGATAATAAGGGAAAAATAAATAAGTGGAAAAGTCTGCTAATAAAACTACATTCACCAATGGAACGGACAATAAATAAAAAATTTTGGTAATTGTAAGGAAGATTTCTGAGTGTTTAGAAATTAAAATAAATTAGAACTGCAGATGATTTCAAGCAATGAATTGAGATAGAATCATAACACAAGAGTAAAATTCCTTACAACGTTAGAGCGAGCCGTTACGAAGAATGCAAATCTTCGTTATAGAACTCATTCTTTAAATATCAATCAACTAACAACGNCAAATAATCAAAATATTACGTTGTACAAACAGTACATTAGTAAGTAATCTCACAGTTATGAGAGGGAACAAAGTTTAGAAAGTGCCACAGAATTACTTCATATTCAGTCTAACGATAGGCCCCTACCACGCGAAGACAGCGTTAAGTTAAGAAATGATATTGGAAGTTAATTCAACTGCTAACTTAAATTATACGAAATAAGCAAAAGACAGAAAATCGAACACTTCTTAACATGTTGAACATAATGCGTTTCAACGAATGTTACTACGAGTGATTATTATTATAACATTCGAAATGAAATTCACATTACTTGCGCAACCGGAAGAATGAATCTCAATCCAAACTCATGCATGAGGGAATGAAATTTTTGTTGTGTAGCATAGAGGCAATAATGTATGATATTCAGTTAACAAGAGTAATAATAATATATAAAGCAAATTAAAAATTAACAGTCATAAGAGAGTAAAAAAAGTAAAAGCTTCGCGTGGCAGGAGCTTCACTACGCTACATAATAATAATGATACTCAAACATCTTTATATATAATATAATGTTCAGGAACAATGAAGTGACGATGGCATCGACACTGACGCTCGCGCCTGTCCTATCCCTGGTCCCGATACTTACTGCTGTGAGAGGTGAAGCGTCCCGCCTGGAGCGAGGCATAATATGGCAACAATGTGACACTTTAAACACCACCGTATCTAACACACACCCAACAACCCATTGCCTTATCAGCGTCTCATACGTCGTTCTCCACACCGATGATTTCAGCATAAAGCTCTTCACCCAATCAAAATTTAAGCGCGAATCAGCTTTAAGGCAGCGCCACTTTTAATGAAACAAACCGGCCTAGAACTAACTAGATATACATAAAAACAAACTAGAAGATAGATATATATAGTCAGCAGACATGCACTGACAACAATTAGGAGCAGTGAACGTAATTCAAATGATCTTCCAGTGAATGCATTACGTGTAGTGTATGCACGACGCAACTCAGATGCCAGAAAAAAAGTCTCCACGCACGGCTCAGTCGCTCCCTTACAAGCAGATTCGCGTTTAAATCTTTAATGTTCACGATTAAAACCCTCGATGTATGAATCACCCGCAGAAAGCTTGAGCTCATTTAAAACAATCAAAAAGTACAATAAAAATAAACTAGAAAAAACTCTAGAGTGCAAGTTGAACTTTATGGAAATATTATGCTATATTTTAGAAAAAGCTCACGGACAACTTGAATTCTTTCGTATAGATTTATCTCACGTAGAATCGCAGAATTCCACCTTAAGCGAACACACAAAGAGAAACATTTTATACTTGAGTGCCCATAAATAATTGTATCAGATGGAGTAGCTGTAGTCTGGTTGCAGAGTACAATAATAGAGGCTGGACAAACATTGTTATGATCAAGTATAATGCGCTTAATACCGTCTCTTATTAACACGTTTTTCTTAACTTAGCTTCGCGTTTGTTTGTTTGTTTGTTTGCTTGTTTGTTTGTTTGTTGTTAACATTGACAACGAAAATTAGCCCACTTCTGATTGCTCTAGTGATCTGAAATTCGGCATGCAGGCTATTTTTGCCTAACAATTTCAGATACAATCATAAAAACTAGTAATTAGAGACCTAAATTAGATTAATTGAGTAAAGTATATTTATATAGTATATATATATCTATAGTATGACGTGCGGGCGCTGACGTTATAGACGAGCAGGCGCTGACGCTGCGTATCATCGATACGTACGTCAAGTCATACTTAATCAAATCTTAATCGTTTTTCTTGTGGACTAAAAAGTAGAAAATAAAATACTTAAAAAAAACTTTTTTAAAAACCACGTTTTTCTTGTGGTTAGGTTAGGTTAGGTTAGGTTGGGTTAGCACTCGGCTGGAGCGTTCGACCCGCGGGCGTTCGACGGAGGGCTGGTTCGACGCTCTGCCTAGATACGGACGGCTTGGTGGCGGATATCACATTCGCTGCAAGGCTCCGGCGCGCTACGTCCGAGTGGTGCAAAATTTTTTCGCGGTACGGCGGACGATGCT